ACAACTGAGATGGGAAAGAACAACTCAGTGCTCTGTGGCTAGCCAGGACTTGGATGTCCCAGTGCCTGACGATTACATCTCACTGGAGACATAGACCCTGCTGCCTGCTAGGACTTCTAAGAGAAAGCCAGCTTGATGCCATCAGACAGAGCATAAAAATTAGTACAAGCAAGTCCAGGCTGCAGCGACAGCCTTATTTCTGATCAAGAGTAATTCAAGGCCTCTCTGCCTTCCCCATACTCACTTTTAAACTGTCCGTGGTAACTTAGTAATTCACAGGTTGTTATGAGAAGCAAGTAACAGTAGATGTGAAAGTGCTTTGTAAACTATAAAGTGCAATGCAAATATTATTATTCAAGCAGATCAGAATATAGGGAAGTTGGTTCTTCGAACTCAGTAGGGGAAGAAGGTGAGTTTTGCCTCTCTAATAAAAGGGCTCGTTGAAACACTGCAAAAATCTTACTTTTCTTGAGATAATTTAAAATAGAGGGGAATGTTAAAAAATAACGCAAACCATACAGTATGCCCTTTCTGCCTTGGGTTTAGACTTCCCTTCCACTTTTTTCCCTTGGAAAAGCCACGTTTGATAAAGTGATCAAAGCCCACGCCCTCCACGCACACACTTCCTGGTTCTACCCTGGAGGGGTGTTGACCTCTAAACTTTAGCATGGGATGTTCTCTTCCAAGGAACTCTTGGAATTATCTTGGAAGATATACAAGTATTCGTTAATTTTTTTCTTTCCCCTTTTCCAATGGGAGAAGAAAATTAACTTTTAAAGGGCTCCTATGCTGTGTGCTGGGCATTTGACGTATCACCTTCTTGAGTCCCCTTGGCGATCCTGCCAGGTAGATATTGTCAGTCTTCTTTCATAGACAAGGAGACCTAAACCCAGAGCTGTGAAGTCACTTGGCCAAGGTAAGAGATGGGATTCAGACCAAGGTTTTGCTGGCTTTCCAGAGTCAGTGCTTCTTTCAGCACCCTATGCTCTCTCCTATCCAAAAAGCCTATCCTAAAGTTTCTCCATGTTTCCTCTCCAGAACAGTTCAATATTTGTGCGTAGGTGGGCAGTTGAGCTCTTTTTCACTGGAAAAGACAGAAAGAGTGGCTCTCTTACAGTTGGCGACAACCTCCCCCCAAACTGCAGTCGTTCTCAGGCACGGACTGATCTCTTTCTGTCCCCTCGTAGCTTAATTGCAATGCTTTCCCAGTTTATTAGTTTCCAGATTCTCTGCCAAGGGCTTTAAGAGGCAGGTAGGGGAGAGTTCTCTGCTAGCCTGGCAGCCTTCCATACCCAACCCCCCACCCAGATCTGTTGCTTGCTGTTTCAGAAAGGGATCAACATTGAAGGCATTTTTCTCAGCAGTGAAATTTACATATCACAACCTTGCTGACTGAAGCAGAAATGAGGGCTCCAGGGGCAGGAGTCTGGGGGTGGGGACAGAGCCTTCGTAGGGGGAGAGAGAGGGGAGAGAAGAGCTTATTTTATTATGCAGGAATAAAAACATTGTGAGTAATGAATAAAATCCGAAAGCAGTAAATCTGGGACTCCAGAGTTAGGTGTGTAATGTGTCAGAGAACAATTTAAGCCTTCGCCTCTTCTGCAGAGGTGAGGTATGCAGGCCGTCATCCACAGCCCGAATTTCATTAAATGGTCTTTTAAGGGTTAGGATTACAAGAAGCCAAGTCCGGCTGGTTCATAATGATGATTTATGGCTGTGTTGTCGACTCCCCGACCCTTCTGTACAGGGGGATAGAGAAAATACATAATTTGTTGCTCATTAACTCCAAGATCTGTCAGGGCTGGCCCAGAAGCCATGTGGTCCTGGAGTCATGTGTCTGCTAAATGGCTTCAGCCTGGCCTGATCCTTGAAAATATACAACTATTATACTACAGTGGAAACTGTTTTTAATAACAAAAGCAATAATGAAATTATCTCAGTGTAGACTGCCATGTATCTTGGAACTTGAGAGTCAGAATATCTGGGCTCTACTCTTAATCCTACAGATAACAGAGACTCAGTTTTCCCATCTGTAAAATGGATATATAATCAACAGAGTTGCAGATTAAATGAAGCTGTAAAGAGCAAAAGAAATGAGAATGATTCCTGCTATAATTAACATTGTTATTAGGAATTTGAGGTTCCATAAAATAATCTCTTTATGCCCCCAAGATCAGAGAAAGCATTTTATTTTTTATTTTATTTTATTTTATTTTATTTTATTTCTGGGGGAAACATTTTAATTAGCAGTTTTCTGTTTGCAAGACTGGGGCATGGAAAACTGAAGTTTTATAATGAAGGGATGTTAGAACCCAGAGGAATTTTGAGTTGTAATCAAACACTTTCTCTCTACGCTGACTGAGGCAGAAGGGTGACTCACCTGTGATTCATTAGGAAATTCACAGAAGAGATGCTAATTTGCAGTAGAAATCCATGTGTTCTTTCTCAGCATCAAACAGGAAATCATGCTCAAACTGAGTCAATTTGGAAACAGTTTCTTAATCTGTGTCAGTGGTATGGTTCAAGGACCTCAGGAGCAATCCAAGGGCAGGGGTTGTGCATGGGGCCTTGGTTCCACTCCTTGCCAGCAGTCATCTCCAAGGAAGTACTTTGCTTTCCTACTGCTTATTACTGTTGCTGGGTCGGGGGACTAGTGGTGGAGGTTGCGCAGGAGAGTTGGGAATAAATGTCATTGCAATTATAAGGTAATAAATCATGGAGTCTAGATCCATCATTTTGCAAATGGAGAGCCTAACTTCTTCCAAATTCACTCAATGAGTAGGGACTTGAACCCTGGCCCCTTGACTCCTAGTTTTGTGTTTTTCTCCCTGCATCTAAAGTCACAGGAGCATGACATAAAAGAAGAAGAATAAGAAAGAGAGAACATGATGGCAGTAATAAACATCTGGAACTTGTTAGCCTGTAAGGTTACATAGGGTAAAAGTGTAAACAGGTTCAAAAGGGGAATTAGATCATGAATGGTAGGAAAGAATGCTGGGTGGGGCCTCAGAACACCTGGGTCTAATCTTTAGATGTGGGTTAACTTGGACCTCAGTTTTTTTCTGTATATAATGGGCCCTTTCATTTCTGACTTGCTATGCTTCTCAGATTTTAATCTTTGCAACATGTTATCGAAGGAGTCTAGGTAATGTTTAGAGGATATTTCCAATTTTGCAATAAGGCACTTGTGAGGGCTACTATCCTGCTCCTTTTATTCGTTTGTTCATTCAACTGATAGTCTTTTAGCACCTCTGCAGGATCAGGTATCGGTCCTGCTCACCCAGGGGGTACCTAAGCCAGGAGGCTGGGCTGGACTGGTCTTTTACGGTCTCCGTCTAATATAGGATCACACCCAAGGTGATTTGGGAAACCAAAGTGCAGCACTTAGAACTAGCAAGCACTTAATAAACACAGAATCACTGCATGAATTTTAGCAGTGGAAGTAGCTGTTCTCACTATTGCACCTGTTGGCTCAGGGCCCCGCTGGCTCGCCCCTCCTTACGTGGCCATCCTATCCCCAGACTTTGGCACCCTCAAAGACCTGGATCAGACCCCATACCTTGATACCTTCCCTCACTGTGAAAAAATAACAGGAGACTTTGGGAAGGAGTGCTCCCGTAAATCAGTCCGTTGCTTCCCTTGTGGTTATGAACATGCTCTCTGCTCTCTGAAAGGGCAAATGTGGCTCATCCTGCCCTGTGAGGAAGCATGAAGTGGTCTTTGTGGTGAGCGACGAGTTGAACATCATTCTCTCTGGACTGGTTGCAACAAGGCAGTGGCCAGGGATATGCTGTGCTGTGGAGTTAAGACACAGGCAGCAGGCTATGTGGTTTTGGTGCAGCACCCAAGCAGAATTGGTCTTCTGTTGCATAGGCAGCATAGGGAATCAGCTGGCCCCACATTTTTAATATAAAACCAGGCAGCTTCTCTGAGTCTCACTTGTATCTATTATGGTTGTTGTGAGGATTTCACAAAATAAAGTATATAAAAACACTGCCTGGTATGAAGTAGGTATTCAGTGATCGGTGAATCGGTGGATCATTGGCTCTGTTTTTTATTTGTGTGTTGTGTTTGTTTGTTAAAGAGTGAAAAAGTCCCCTGAGTGTCAAGGAGTAGACATTGTGGGGTGGAGGAAGGGTGTGAAAATCAAGACACACTTGATGTCCTTCAGGATCAAAGGGACAATGCAGGCAGACATGAGGAAATTCACAAACACTGAAGGGCATTGTAGTAAAAGTTCCCTGGTTTGTAAACCAGTGTTCTTGTCATCATATCATCTAAAAAAGAGGATGGAAGAATCACTTCCTATGACCCAGTTCATTTGTCATATTTAAGCCAACAACTCTGTAAAGGTGTATATAGCCTCCTTTCATGGAGAAGGAAACTAAAGCTTGGAGAGGTTGAGTTGTTGCTGAAGGACACCAGGTTGGTGGCAGAGCCTGGATTCAAATCCAGGACTTGGTCTTGGGGCATTCACTCTTTACTACAGAAACCCCTACCGTGGCTTTATGGTGGCGTAAGGCTGAGGCTCTTTGTTGAGTTAGATTGTTGTTGGTGATCCTTTACCCCAAATTCTGGAATCCTCACATTTGCTCAGATCCTCTGACATCCTGACCACCCTTAACTGTGTCCTTGAGTCTTCATCCAATTGTATTTTATATGGCTAAGTTCTTATTTATCTTTTTATTTTGTTAAGATATATACATATATATATATTTATATAGCAATGTACTTATTGTGTTTTTCTTATTATGAAGGTGCTATATGGTATATAGGACTTTCTTGAAAAAGGGAAAGAATGACCGTGTTATTAACACTTTGAACTTTCCTCCTGTGTATATTTACATCTTCATACTCCTTAAATAGGAAATTGGGGTTTCCTAGATTATAACTTGCAGTTCCATAGTGAACAGTCTCTTACATCAGTAAGTGCCCTTTACAGCATCAGCTTTGATGATGGGTCTTGATACTGCCTAATTCCCCTGTTGGTTTCCTTTTAGATCATCACAGGGGAGTTCTACCGGATCTACTACCTGAAGGAGAAGTCCCGGTCAACGATTCAGAATCCCTACGTGGCAGCCCTCTACAAGCAAGTGGGTTGTTTCCTATTCGGCTGTGCCATTAGCCAATCCTTCACAGACATTGCCAAAGTGTCCATAGGACGCCTGCGTCCTCATTTCTTGAGCGTCTGCAACCCTGATTTCAGCCTGATCAACTGCTCTGAGGGCTATGTTCAAAACTACAAATGCAGAGGCGATGACAGCAGAGTCCAGGAAGCCAGGTGAGACACTGTCTCCATGACCGTGGGCACTCCTTTGATGCAGCCAGTCCAGTGAGCATGTTCTAAGCACCTACTGGGTGACAGGCCTACTGTTGGGCTCTGGGTTTGATGGGCAAGTATGGCAGAGTTCCTGTTCTTGAGGAACTCACAGTCAAATGACTGAGATAGATTTGTAAATAAACAATCATGACATAGCATTCGTAAGTTCATGCATTCATTCATTTGTTTATTCATGGATTCATGGGTGCCTGCGAGATTCCAGGCAATTTGTCCAAAGTACCATAAAGGACACAAAAACAAACAAGATAGTGCTGCTCTCAAGGTCACAATCCTAGAGGAAAGACAAGCAGACAAGCATGGATCAGGAATGTGAATACAGCCCTTTCATGGCCCTCTCTTGCTCTTGCAGGAAGTCCTTCTTCTCTGGCCATGCCTCCTTCTCCATGTACACTATGCTGTATTTGGTGGTAAGTACCTGCCCTCTGATCCCCGTGCCCAGCATCCAGTCCCATCTTTATCTCTTCTGTACATAAAACCCCCAGATTAGGGACAGATATACTGGGAAATCCTTGAAAAAAGAGATTAGCTAGAAAAATGAAGTTCTATTCTGAGCTCAGCCGCTGCCTTAGCAGAAGTTGTTTTACTTTCTAGGATTTTCTCATTTTCCAGATAAAAATAATATTTACCATAGCTGCTTGATAAGAACACTGTTTTGAAATTATAAAGTGATAAAGACACTTGTATGGCATTTTATGGTAATAAACACTGTTTTCTGAAAATCCATTAACTCAGTTGATTATTACAAGAACCTTATGTCATAAGTAATATTGTTTCTGTTGTGGGAAAAGATTACCAATTAAGACTCAGAGACTTCAAGTGAACTGCCAAAATTTACAGACACTAGAACTGTCACTCGAATCCAAGCCTTCTGGTCACATTCCTTGTAGTGTTTACTCTGGTGGTCCTCCTCTGTGTTCTGATGAAGGACTTGAAAACTTCACCCAACTACATAGAGTGATTTTTGGTTTAACAAAATACTTCCGCATACATGAGCGCACATGACCTCATAATAACACAGTGAAGTACGAACTCCTTATCCCATTGCTCAGACCCAGAGACGCCACGCAGCGTGTTGGAAGCCCTCCAGCTGGTGCTGTGATCTGAGTCCCCATGCTGCCCTTCCCACGGCCACATCCGCTCTGACTCCCTGGAGGTGCCGGGACAGTGCAGGTGCAGTCCCCGCTCCCCTCCAGCTAGTAGCTGCTCTGTTCCTCTTGGTCAGTTAACTAGGGTCACCCTGCCTTTCCCCTCCCAACTGAGGGAGGTCCCAGGGCCAGGGCACTTCTTGCTTTCAGCTACTTCGCTGGAGTTCAGAGCGAGAAGGCCCTGAGAGGTCAGATATAGCTTAGGGAGCAAAAGTTGTCTTGATTTCAACTTACTTATTGAAAAAAAAAGAAAAAACATAGTTTGGAATTGGGGAAAATGTTGGGGTTTTTTTTTTGTTCTGCTTTGTTTTTCCCCAATCCTTTCCAAGTTTGGAGGGCTCTAGATACAAAGCTAAAAGGTGGGCTGCAATTTATGAAAACATTGAATGTGGACTTTATTTATTTGTGAATTGAACTTTCCTTTGCTCTTCATTTTTGTTGTTGTTATTTTTGTTTTGCTCTTAGAAAGGACAATGTAGCAAAGATATTTAGTTTCCTGTTCCATTTTTATATTTCACCCTGGGCTGGAAGTAATTTTACTAATGTCATTTCAGTGTTTTGTAAAGGTGCTTGAAGGAGTAGATACATGTTTTTGTGATTGTTTGTTTGTTTGTTTGCTTGCTTTTTTTTTCTGTATTTCTTCATTTTCTTCCAAGAGAAACACCGAATAATTTTGAAACCAATACTGCACAGTGTGCCCCACCGCTGCGAGGTACAGGTGCTGACAGGTTCCTGGTGCCTGAATGTGCCAGGCACTATGTGGAGTTCACACTGTGGTATTCCATTCTCCCAGTAACCCAATGGGGCGCATTGTGATTGCCCTGCTTCAGCTTAAAACAAACCAACCAACTTTAAGAAGTTAAGCAATAAAAATTCTACATCTAGAAAGAGGCAGAAAAGGTACTTGAAGCTTGGTCTTTATGATTCTGGCATCGTGTTATGGCCTTTCATTGTATTGTACTACAAAACAAAACAAACCTCTGTGGGATAACTTAAATAATATAAGCCCCTGACCCTAATTTTAATTTCACATGAAGGCAAGCTGCCTCACTTCAGATCTGCTTTGGTAGATGAGATGCTCCCCTCGCTCCCTCCCACCCCCTACTCCTCAGTCATCTCCTTACCAGCTCTGATTTCAGAAGGTCTCTGTGGGGGTGGCAGGTGAGGAGTAGATTTTGACTGAATATTTATTTATGTCTCTGCAGGAGGAAAAATTATAGTGCTTTTATATTTCTGGAAGGAAGGAAAAGAGGGCAGAGAGAGGGGAGGAATTGGAGATGGGAAAGGAAGAGAGAGGGAGAAAGGAAAGAGCCTCCTTTATCCGTCATCTCCTAAGCGTATTGTTACACACACTCATTCATGCAAACACCGCACACTCTTAGGAAGCCTTGCAAACATACACACATTCAACATTCACGATTCGCAGACACATTTATAACATACGGACACAGGTTCTATGTTCAGATTGAAGGTTATCTTACCCTTAAACAACCCCTGAGGCTAAGAGCCAAAAAGTAGGGACAGTGCTCTTTGCCAGGACTGATTTTAGGTGATATTCCACAGAAATCTCAGCCCTTTGTCCAGTTTGCAAAACTTTCTAAAGCAAGTTTGAAGAATACCGTTGCTGCCTGTCAGGGTCAGTGGGAAATCCTGCCGTCACTTAGTCAGGACAGCCTCTAGACGCTCTCCGCAGTGCTTTCATGTTGGGCTTCAGGAGGTGCTGGAGCTGGGTGCTTTTGTTAGCACATCCTGCGATGCCCAGCTTCCCTGGAGCCTTGGGGAGCATCACATTTGAACCCGCTGGCCAGAGCATTAACAGCTATTGCCTTTAGAGTCAGACAGACCTGGATGCTTCTGGCCATGAAAGTGATTAGCTGTGGAACCACGAGGGGGTTACTTAGCTTTCAAGTCTCAGTGTACTCATCTGTGAAGCGGAGACCATCGTGCCTATTTTACACAGTCATTGCCACTCTTCTTCTCGAGGCCCCACTTTTCCTATCTGTCAAATGAAAGAGTGGAATTACATGGTGTCTACTTCTCTCTCAATCTCTACGGTTCTCTTTGAAAGAAGTTTGACCTACCCTAACTATTGATGGGAAGCCACCAGGGACAAACTTAGGCCGGCATCACCAGGGAGTTCAAAGAGAGCTGCCTGTTGGAGGTGCCACCATCCCTGTTCCAGGCCTTTCAATGCCAGCTGCTGTCTAGAGCCTCCCATGGCTCTGAAGGGCATGCTGTATTGGGTTTTAACTTGTAAAATGGTTGGCTCGGAAAAACCATGCCCCAAACACCAAATTATCCCTGGGCATGGAAGCTTAAAGAGGAAAAAACAAAAAAAACAAACAAATGCATAGACACAGACAACAGCATGGTGATTACCAGAGCGAAAGCGGGGGTGTGAGGAGGTAGAAGCCGACAAAAGAATAAATGGTGATGGAAGGAGACTTGACTTGGGGTGGTGAACACACGATACAATATACAGATGATATGTTATAGAATCGTGCACCTGAAACCTATATAATTTTATTAACCAAGGTCACTCCAATAAATTCCATAAAAATATTAACAAAAATAAGAAAAGAAATCCCACAGCATATATGCATAAGTGGCACTTTCTGTCCCTGAGCCCCGGCCTAAACCCCAGAGGACCACATCTGGATTGGTCCTGCACTTCCATGGTCAGGGACTGAGGGCGACTTGGCTGTCTGGATAAAATGCCAACACCAGGGCAGGCACCATTTCCTGTAGCATACCTGGTATTTCCTCTTTTGTGCCAGGCAGTCTGCCACCTTCCATGGCTGCTGAGATAAATCAGACCTGGGCCCTGCCCTCCAGGGCCTCACCAATGCATTCCACATTCAGCACTCAGCACGTATTGAGTGAGTGACTGTGACTATTACGCACCAAGCACCGTGCTGAGTGTGGGAATATAGAGATTAGTAAGGCATGGTTACAGTCCTTGGAGAATGCAGTTTAGAGAAGCAGGCAGACCATGACGACAGTCTGGTTCATTGGGGCAGGAGGGGCAAGGGGATGTGTAGGTCATTGTGGAAGTTCAGAATCGTGGCAGCTAACCTGAGTGCAGGGTGGCCGAAGTCATGGAAGGCTTCCAGTAGGATGAACGTGGACGGCTTGGAAGGACTCCCCGTGTGTAGGTGAGAAGGAGGATGGTGATTTGGGAAATCTGCAGGTACTCAGTTCAGTAAGCATTGATGGCTGCTAGGAGGCAGAGAGTGCAGGGTGCATTGTGAGTTGAGAAGACCTCACAGTTCCAGCTCTTCCTTTTGCAGCTCAGGTTAGGCAGCAAGTTCTTGTGGAGGCCTTTTCCTTGGTCCTGCTGTGCTCTCTCAGGAATCTGTACTTTGCCCCCTTGCCTTCTTCAGGTTGGAGCGGCCTCCCCTGGCCACCGTGTTTAACATGACGGCCCCCTGACAGACACAAAGGATGCACTGGTAGTTGCCAGAAAAGAGAGAGGTTGGGGGACTGGGTGAAGGGATTGAAAGTACAAATGGGCAGTTACAGAATGGTCATGGGGATGTAATGTACAGCGTAGGGAATATAGTCAGTAACACTGATCACTCTGCATGGTGCCAGGTGGGTACTGGAAATACAGGGGTGGGAGGACACTTTGTAAAGTATGTGATTGTCTAACCACTATGCTGAATACCTGAAACCAATACAAAATAATATTGAAAGTAAACTGTAATTGAAAAAAAATAATGAAAAATGACAAGCCCCTCCTCCAATACTCCCTTATTTCCTTTGAAGCCATATTTTCCCCCCAATTTCTCACCATCTGACATGGTATATATTCACTCCTTTGTTTACAGCTGCCAGAGAAACTGCAAGCTTCTTTCCATTGCATTTAGAATTGTGTTTATCTCCTCATAGCTGTCTTGGTAGATCATGAGGGGCCTGCGTGGTGTAAGCCCCGAGGGATTCTTTTTGCTGTGGTGCCCGTGAGAACTGTTGATGTGTCAGAGGGTATGCCAGTTACCAAGGAAACAGGGAAGTGGCTGTACTCTGACAGCCACGTTCTCTAGCCTATGGTTGTTAATCATGGAGGTTTTGTTCAACATGCGTAGAATCCCAGAGCAGTGGGGTCTGGTGCACCCGCAAGGCCTACTCACAGATCCTGGAGTGTGTGCCGAAACTTGGCAGGAACAAGACTGTTGTTTGCAAGGGGATCTACCATGGTGCCAGATGTTCGTTCTCTCCTTTCTCTTACCTCACCCACTTATCCATCCATCCATCTTTCCTTC